AGAAATAGTAAATCAGTCTGCTTGTTTTAATACCAATATACAAACACAGACATATTAGTTCTGTTCCTGTACATCTGTGTTTAGAGGTATTCAAGAAGGTAAGGATGAAAAAAGAATGGTTCATCCTTGCAAATTGATGATCCTGGAATTAGTGTAAACTGTAACATCTGATAAATGCATATGAGGTGGCAGTAAGGCCGAAGGATATTTTTCTTCTGCATAACCAGTTTCCTACTTTAAATGTTTGTCTGCAAGCTTCAGACGTTTAATGTGAATTGACTAAATAATACACACACTATAGTACATTACTCTTTTGAAGAAGAGTCTTAAAGAAAACAGAAAATTTTGTTGTACTACATGGACATTGAAGGACCGTCTTGTAAAATAAACCAAATTTATCTGCTAAAAACAGTTCCAATTCTCCAAGCACTTTTATAGAGGCAACTCTGTGATATTTACCATATCCTTCATATGATTTCCTATAAACATAAAGGGAATATTTTGAATTACATCAATAAAGTGGTGTGCTGAAAATGTTGATTGAAAACTTACGCTGTTCCGATTCTTGGCCCAAATGGTTCTTTATCTTCTTTTGCAGGAGAATAGAAGTCATAACATGCTTGGAATAATTGCTGGAATTCTTTGTGTACTATGCATGAATCATTTCTCACTTTTACCTGTAGACAAGAAGTTTTAATTTCTTTCTAGTTACTACAACACATACAAAAGTCCTATGCTTTAGTAACATGACACCTATTCATTAGATACGATGTATGATGAAACAGTTCATATGAACCTATCTTGTCATTACTGACATTCTCTATTATGTTTTTAATATTCACAATTAGGAAATTCAAATTGACTTATAAATCATAAATCATGTATTATCACAAGTATGATAACTTTATTTAACTGAAAATGTTATGTTATAAAGCACTGCTTTCCAAACTTTTTCCTTCATTACCCAAAACTGCTGATCAGAAAGTCCTTTTTACCCAATGTAGGTAAAACTCTAACTGCACAGAAAACATATATGACAACTGAAGAGAGATCGGTAAAAAATAGGAAGCAATCAATAAGTTTGATGCAATGTCTTTATTTTAAACATCTCTAAGCATTTTAGCAGTCACAAAAAAATTGGTAATTATTTACCATGAATATTTCATCACCTAGGTCCCAGCTAATGAGTACAAAGCCACTGCTCCATCTTATTTACTATTTTCGGCAAAATTGGGAGCAATTGGAGACACAGCACACCTCACATAGTATTCGGGTTTCAGCAAACAATTTCGTTTTGTGCTCTTTATAATAACAATAATAATAATAATAATAATAATAATAATAAAAATAATATGATGATAATAATAATAAGTTCCAGTACTGAGGTACAGTTTTGGAATAATTAACTGGAGACTGGAAGAACTGAAGAAAATTGACAGAAAAACTAGAAAACTGTTGACAATTTATGGGATGCATCACCCGAAGGCAGACGCAGACAGAATTTACGTAAAGAGGAAGGAAGGGGGAAGAGGACTGGCACAAATTGAAGCAGCATACAAAAGTGAAATAGTTAATATTGCAGAGTATTTGCACATAAAGCATCAGAAGGATCCATATATTAATATCACAAAATTACACGACAGGTCTCAAGCAATAATGAACTCAATAACTAAGACAGCATCGAAAA